AATAAAATAAAATAAAATAAAATAAAATAAAATAAAATAAAATAAAACATTTAAAAAAAACTTGACCTTGATAACTAAATATTATTATTACTGAGAAGTCCTGAAGAAAAAAAAATCAAAATTTTCCTATTTGGCTATCCAGCGAAAAACATTATTAAAAAAGATTACAGTTTGACAAGAAAAAAAAGAAGCTATTTTGAACAATTCATGAAACCTTAGAAGAGTTTAATTGATGTAGGTGGTCTTCATTGCTGTCGTATGTACTGTATCTGCACATGTCCTCGCTTGTTTAGTTTTTTTCCTCCACTGGCCTTTGCCTCTTTCTGTGATTATGTTCTTTTAGCCTCTCTTCACGTTGGCTGTGCTTTTGTACCTGTGACTCAGCTTCTTTGATTTAGTTCAGTCCAAAAACTGTTCCAATTTGCAGCACGTGGGGTCTGGCCATTGCACAGAAGTGGCGGGGGGGGGGGGCATATGGCAGTTTCAAATGTGTTTTCAGATCATATCTATTTGTATATACATAATGATCGTGATAAATATGTGAAAAATACAGATTGTGAAATATATAACGCTAGAAAGTGGTCACATTCAATTGCGTACAAGGTTCAATAATAAAAGACTGGCCTATTTCTATTTCACAAAGTGGATTACTGTGACTCACACAAGCCCTTTACAAGCTGCCATTATACATGCTGTAGGCAGTGTCATAGTGGAAGAGCAATGGAGCAGCAGCCACTGGCATAAACATATGTTCCGAGTGTGTTTGTCTCCGATGTGGCTCTGGGCAGGTAGTGTGTGTGTTGGCGTTCCATGCAAACTTGCAGAAAATCCCAGCAAAAGCTTTGATTTTCATGGTGACTTCAAACCGAACGTTGTTTTTGTTTTGTTTTTATATCTGCTGATAAAGCTACAATGAAATGGATTCAGACTAAATTTCTTGCGTCAGTAGAAATGTTAGAGGTGAGGAAAAAGGAAATAGCTTGCCTCGTATTGATCCCCCGGACAAAGTCTTGCAAAGCCTGCCAAGCCTGTCAAGACAAATATACATTTCTTTAAATACAGAAAGCGTGGGATGGAAAAAAAGAAACCAATTCAATGCAGATATCTATGAGACAGTCAACCTCAGCTTGGCTTTCTTATTCAGGAAGAATTATTTTGGGTGCTAATGCGTTACGTGAGGAGTCCCAAATGAAAGTTTTTTGTCTATGTTCATGATCTTAAACGCACACATACATAATTTGGATTGTACTTTAAAATGTGTAGATGGATGTTCAACGGAACTGGAGCATAATTGAATAATATCTCTTGATTTTTCAAGCGTATCAGTGGAACTTAGCAAGTGTGTCACCTACATCCGCGTTCCCTTTTAGTGCTCATCTCACCTTTCATTTTGATGTGAAACTCTCCGAGCAGGTTCTCCAGTTCGCTCTCGAACGTACTCATGTTCTGAACAACGGAGAAAGAGACGACCGGTCACACAAGCAAGGCCTCTCGAAATACAAGAGGACGAGTCATCGGGTTAATCCGAGGCAATCAGTGTTTGACAAAGCCCCTCTATAGAGACGGCTGGCCCAAAGCCTTTAAAGACAGGTGATAATGTAGTTGTGTTTATAAATCAAGGTAATCAATCTGTATAATTCTCTATAATTAAGGCGCTCTGAGTTGTAATGTATACTATTCAATGTCAATGTGACATCTACACATCATGTCAGACCATTACTTACAGTGGGGGAAATAAGTATTTGACCCCTTGCTGATTTTGCAGGTTTGCCCACTTACAATGAATGCTTATTTTTCCTCATCAGATGGTTATCAATTTTTATAAATTCATATGATGTGATTTTCTGGAATTTTCTTTGGGATTCTGTCTTTCACTGTTAGAATGTACATATGATTAAAGTTACAGATCGTTGCATTCTTTGTAAGTGGGCAAACCGGCAAAATCAGGAAGGGGTCAAATGCTTATTTCCCCCACTGTATATAGAACAAATCAAGTAGCTGTAGCCACAGAAGTACCTCAGTGTATTCCTTGTACCGACGGTTAACTTCTGTGATGCTCTCTTTGGTGCCTTTGGTGGAAGGAGAGGAGGAGAAGGCCTGCTTCATCCGGCTGGCCCCCTCCCTCAGCCGGCTCTGGATGCAGAAGGCCTCGTACAGCTCATCCACCTGAAGCGAAAACAGAGTTGCAAATATTAATGTACGCGTCAACTTTCACCTGCCATCTGAATTTTTCTGGACAGGGAAATATTTCCTTAGCAACCGGATAAAGAAATATAATGGAGAAAAGAATAGACCTGAAAGGTAAATTTCCTCAACTTCTATACACAGAGAGTAAAAAAAAAACAGTTAGAAATATGCACCTCTACAGAGAAAGAAAGTCAACTGGAGGAGGAAAAAAGGAGTCAGATACAGCTGGTGTGAGTCTGTGTAAACGCAGCCCGTGCCGTCCAAGTCTGAAACTCCAGAGGGACGCTCTGACAGCAAGGCAACAACAGACGGGGTTTACGGCTCATTTGGAAGCTCGGTTTGCAGCGCAAGCCCCATCTCACTGAAACCCACAGAAAGAAGGAACAACTCCATCGCCATCCTGCTGTCTCACTATGGCGTAACAAGAGCTGCAGCATTTCTACACACCCCCGACCTGAGAAGCCTTTTTTCCTACAGGCCGAATGTGGCTGAACTTGTGTAATCATAATATTGCTAATCTTTTTCTTTCTTAATTTATTCTTTATTTTTCTTCGAGGTGTATACTCCATCAAGCTGCTTATTAAGTGGGAAAATGCAATAGTAGAGCAACTATTATATTACAAAGTTAATAAATTTGACTGCAGTTTGTCTAATATAAGATATTTGTGAAGGTGTTGTACTGTTTTGCCTATTTTGTCCTCTTTTGCAAGTTCTATTTTACAGCAATATTTTGCCAATCTTAAAATAGAAAGTTCCACTTTCCAGGCTCCACCTCTCCCAGAAGTTAGATCAAATTAACCAAGGTACTTTTTGTGTAATCTAATTGACAAACAGGAGATCTAAATATCACATACAAGCAACAAAAGTAACTTTAGACCATGAGCTGTGTGAAAAACACATGAATAATACACGGGGAAAAAGAAAAGATTCACTTAAATTCGTCTCTCATTGATGAGTCAATCGAGCCAAAACAATGCTACCAGCAGTATGGGTTTCTAAATGAACAACTGATCGAAGAGGCAGCAGAGCAAAACAAAACACCTCTGGTGGGCCTCATCAAAGGGAAATATTGTCTCCTGCCTGACTTGAGTGCTGAAATATTGATGCTTTCAGCTCTTTATGGAACTCATCAGGGAAAAGCAGGAGAAAATGGGCCATCCTGGCTCCTGTTGTCCTAGGAGTTTTTGCTTTGCTTGTGTTTCTTTGTGGCTGGAGTGGCAACTGTGTGAATATATTCGTGACGGCAATGGCATACAGTTTGTGAACAGTTTTCTTTTGGGTGGTCGAGATACCGAGAACAATGGAAGTGGCTTACAGCGGGACGTTTCTGCTATAGAGGGCTGAGAGTGAAATCTCACCATGTTATAATGACCTTTCTTACCACAAAGACACACAAATGCACACCCACTCCACCTCAAACCAAGCAGCCCTCAGCACCCACCCACCCACCCACCGACTGGGACCCACCCCGTCTGTCTGTCTGTCTGTGGTATGTGGTGGGACGCCTGAGCTGAGCTGGGCCTGCTTAAAAAACAACACTAACCTCAACTGCTATTTTCAACTTTCTGATCGGTACGAAATCCAGAAGCATCAACCGGAGGTTTCTATTTGCTTATAAAGAGGGAAAAACATGACTCTGGGAAGAAAATGTTCAATATGGAAGAAAAAAATAGATCCGGTTGGGTGAACTTTTGCAGTCGGGTCCAGACAAAATGATTCAACAAGGCTCAAATAAATGAGTCGACAACTTGGTCCAGTTTAAGTTGTATTTTCTGTGTTTATTTCCTTTTTTTTTCTGTATTTTTCATGATGTTTAATAAAATGTTGTTTAATTGAAGTTTCAACTGTAAAGTAATTGCATTTTTTTTCAGGAAACCATTTTTTATCAATATAATTCCCTTTCATGAACATTAGCTTGGGGGAAAATGTGATTGACTTATGGAGTAATTCATGATTCATTCATTTGAAGGAAACTCCATTCCTCCCAAACGGAGGCTTATGAATGGTCCATCATTCTATCAGCGGTCACATCATTATCAGCTAATGAAGCTAATTTTTGTTAGCTACAATAGCCTTTTGGAGCCCCTCAAGGATGTGTGCTTTTCAAGGTTAGCCAAGCCCCCATCCAGAGGGTGGCCATCAGCATTTTGTTACGCCCCGGGCACGTTTCGCCCCAGAAAGAAAAAGAGAGAACATGAAAGGGAAAACGCAGACAAAGAAAAAAAGACGAACCTCCACATTGACAGATGGACAAGAAAAATAAATAAATAAATGGAATATGGATGAGTCACAGGCACTTTTGACCATGGGACGGCTATTCAGATGCTCTCCTCTGTAAGAGCAAAAAACAGGGGACTAATATATGCCTCCTACCCAGAATTTCCTGACTGTGCTTTTCATCTTTCTGCCTTTTGTCTTCCTAGGTTTTATTTTAATGACTAACTTGTGGGGATGGATCCATCTACGATTTTGGAATCAATTTAATCAGTTAAGAATAAAGCAAACAAAGAAAACAGCAGATCTGTCAACAATGAAGACGTCAACCTTAAGGGCACTATATATATATTATATTTATATATATATACACACAAAATGTTGATGTTTATATTTAAGGTGTTTTTCTAGAATATAAGAATCCTACCAGATTAATTTAATATACATTTAAATGCAAATTTATTCAGAAACCCATCCTCTTTTGGACCGTCTTAATTAAAGCTCAGTGCGCTGGCAAAACCCTTAACAGCTCAGAGAACAAGTAAGGGATTATGGGAAAATCTTTATTGAGGAATCAATTATGCCCATAGTAAGAGGAAGATTCTACTCAGTTATTAAAACTGAAATATTCATGTTGCTTCCTCCTTTCCCCCGCTTTTTATTTGCAGTTTTAAACCAGCTCAATTTTGATAATGTTTGCTTAGTACTAATAACACACACTCAGTTTTTAAGTTTTGCAGGATTGTCTTTGGATCTACTTTATATATCTTGTTCTTAACTCGAGGTTTTAATTGGAGCAAGTGAATTTTTAGGATTCGGCAAGAATCCTCTTAAGATATGGACTTTATCCTGGATAGATCACACGTACACAAACACGCGCTTCAGGGGCAAGCGATGATAAGCAGATTAAAACAGACAGGCCACACCACACTGAATGAAACGCGCCGACAATCTCCGGGGAGCTTTGTGTGTGTGTGTGTGTCTGTGTGTGTGTGTTGGTGGAAAGATTAGCTTTCCAGGAAAGAGGGCAAAGCTGAAAATTCCCTATATTAAAAATAATTACATGCAAAGTATTCGTACTCGCTCTGGATTGAATTTGGCACGTGTTTAACATTTATACCCACCCCCCCCGTCTCAGAGGAGGAGGAAGAGGCATTTGACAGCTGCTCTTCTCACCTTCAATCTTTGTCACTCACCTCTTTAATGATGCCCTGCTGATACCAGTGTCCAGCGCACACACGCACGCACACACACACACACACCCCATATAGGCCCTGTCCCGTACACGACATCACGGTGACTGCACGGAGCCACCTGCCTCCGCCGTGCGAGCCAATTATTCCGCAGACATCTGCAGGCGGCGCGGCCCACAAAAGAGTGGGCTGACGCGAGTCAAAAATCTAACAACTCGCTGATGGATGATCATTAAGTCGTCCCTCGTGGCGACAGCCCCGTACAAAGAAGCGCGCCTGAGCCCGAGTGCAAACACAGACAAACACACTCACGCCCACAACGCACTGATCTCTTTTTATGTCGCCCATTTCTGGCGAATAATGTGGTCGTGCGTTCAGTTAGTCTTGCTTGTCTGCACTAAAGTGCACATTGCTTCATTTTATTCTTGTATACTGCCCTCCTGATACAGCATTTTGCCGTCTTTGCAGTAGTCATTTATTTTCTATTGGAACAAATGAAAAAAAGATAGCAGCACAAGCGGTCTGCTAATGTATCGGAATATTTCAATCTCAGAGTACTGCTTATTTAGTTATTGTTTGGTTAAATTAGGAAATGGTGAAAACTCTGACATTTCTGTCATGACATTTATTAGTCTATAGACGTTTACACGTTTAGGGGCCCTGAACTTTGCAAAGTTCGAATCACTCAGACCCAACCTTAAACAGACTTAATCCCGTTTGCTCCCCCTTGCACTGTAATCCTCACAGAGTTAACAGAGGACGTAATTATTTGAGGAAGTAGGTGGGACACTATGGTATTTCTTGGTGTGTACCACAGATATGAATAATTCTGAACATCATATTAATAAAATTTTATAGAGATAAGATTTAGGTTTGCACCATTTAAAAGATGAGGATGGATGGCGTTTCATTAGACCGTTAGACAATATTTAAAATGTTAATTTCCGAATCTGGTCAACACGCTATGAGGATCAGCTGTTTATTGCTCACTTGAACAGGCTAGATAACCGTCGAGTACTCTGTGATCATGTACCTCCACCTGCATGCTAATGAAGGCACCACCCAACAGCTAAACCACGCCCAACCTTTTTGGTTCCAAAAAAACAAGGACAGTCATCTATTGCGAAAATAGCAATATCAACTTTAGACAATATACAAAAAGATTTTCCATACATTGTGTGTAGTTTCTGTGAGAAGACCTCTTCTGATAGAGATTCAGTGCACTTCTTTGAGGATGTTTTTGATCATTTTTTAAGTGAACTATACAACTTCAGGTTACAACAATTTAGTTGCTTCCGACAGTTTGAAAACCTTAGGATATGTTCTACACAACCAAACTCCTGGTAATATTCAAAGGAATACTACAGTACCAGAGTTAGTTGCTTAAAAAACTCCTGGTGGAAAAACAGAAATGAAAATAAGGACTACATTAATAAATATGGCTCAAAATCTTAAATTGACAATAATATTTTGTCCATACCAAAAACCTGTGCAAAACCAGTCAGTAAAACTTCAGCTTTTGTCAAAGGAGCAGGTGAATATTTAGAAATAAAAAGAGGAAATGCAATACACTCGATGGATGATTGAGGCCTCTGTCTTGCCTTTTAAGCTGCTTCACTATTTCAAATATTTACCGGTGCATTCAAATCTATTTTTGTGCAGCGCTTGTAAGAACAAGGACGCTTCAAAAATAACCCAAAACGTCAAGTATAAAAGCTTTAAGCGTGCGTTTGTTAAAGGCAATTCTACGTCAACCTCACAAGACAGAACAAGCCTAAATTCCACTTTCCTTTTATTTTTTATCAAAGCTAAAGTGGTGCAAGATGCAATACACTTCTCTCTTTAAACATAACCACTTCATATCCTAGATTAATTTAAAATCTCCTTTTTGTAGGTTTTTGTCTTTAAGGACCCCCTAGGCCACTCATGCTTGCAGCTTTGGGCCCATTCGCTTTTGCTTTTAATCCGTACAAACTCTTGTCCAACGACCATCTCATTGTCTGCTATGCTATTGGTTTATATGAATTTGTCTTCTGGACAAAAAGCTGAGTTTTTATTGTCCAAGATCCCATATATGAACATAAAGGGTTAACTTCACCCAATAGATGGCTTCCTCGAGCTCCGTCTAGGACTTCAAAGGCTGTCTTTGGGTAACCATGACTACCTTTGGAGCCGCACAGTTGTTTGGGCATGTGTGTTCTGATTACCTGCTGTCATGTCTGATTTGATGCACAGCTAGGGAGGCCATTAATGGACTACAAAAGGGGATCTAGAAGAAAAGTCAAAGAGCCTTGCAAACCTTGTAGAGGATTAAAGCCCCCCACTGAGAACCTGTGACGAAACTACAAAAGAGGGTATAGGAAAAGAAAATTCCCTACCTGGCACCTGTGGTGGGGATGTTTTTACATCAATCATTGAAACAGTCAGAAACTTCCCCAATATATCAACACGTGAATCAAAGAGGAACAGGAAAAAAATCCACAAGAATAAAATGAGCCGCGCAGCAGATTTCTAGAAGACTCAACATCAGTAGATGGAATCCTTTCTACACCAAAGATCCCTCATAGGAAACGAAAAGGTACACATTTTTTTAAAAAGCTGCCCAGTGGTTTTCTTGCTCAAAGATGAAAAATAGAAATGTTATCCTCAGATTGTTATTCATAGAAAGCAGATAGCAGGCTTAGCATATTCAACCACAAACAATATGGCAGCCCTGAATCTGCTGAATGTTTATTTTTCTCTTCATAAAAAAAAAAACATATTAAGAACATGTCTTTAGCTGAATAGTTACTCTAATCTACTTTTTTTTCACACAGTCAGGTGTGCTTTCTCCACCTTCTCTATATGCCAACTTATTAAGTACTTCTGAAGGCAAAAGGACCGAAAAGAAAAAGAAAAAACACAGGAAAGATTCACCCAATAAATTTGTTCAGTTTTTGGCTCACCAAAGAGATGTTTCGAGCACAATAGCTGTTGAAGAGTGCAGTTCCTGACTCACAATTATTTCAAACATCGCCCATTTACACGCACTTAGGGAATTGGGACATTTTACAGTACTAACCAACGCTCACACTGAACCATTAACAAATTCCTTTTGCACACAAACTGAAAGAAAAATGAACAATCCCGTTCATATCAGAGGTTAATGCTTACCTTACTGATATGAAACTCCAGACGTCTCATGTACCTCTCGATGCTTTTGATTTGCTGCAGAAAGACATGATAAAGACCAACAATTTAGTCGTGCTCGTGAGAATATGACCAGAGACGGTTCCCAGATGAAAGAAAAACGATTGGCATACATGAAAAGGCTGGGCTTGAAAAAGAAACAGCGTATGTGGTTACTGAACATATGTCACTGATTTACTGAGTTGGATGAATTTATCATGCATTGGCTCTGTCAAAATTCTCTTGTAGTTTCTTGATTCAAAATAACTCATTATCCTCTGTACACTCCCCTTTCTGGTTTCAAACATTTATTTTCTTTCAGAAACTCATTCTTTTCTTATTCTTTTTTTTTTCTGGGATTGATTCCTTGATACCTCTGGGTATTTCTCATATAAAAAATGAAAATTTCCATCGTTCAGCAACTTACTTTGTCAAGATCGTAAAGCACTCCCTGGAAAGAAAGCATAAAAATACAGTTAGAAGGTAACCCAGATGATACCTCTTACATAATCCAAGCCGTGAGGATGTGTAAGAGGGGGAAAAAAAAGCAGTTTAGATGACTTATCGTAATCCAAATGTACGTTTTGGTAGTATTTCTAACATTTTAACACCCTTTACTGATATTGTTTTGCAGTTCTTTTTCCTGCTGTTAATTGATCTCACCAGACGAGAGTTCCTCTTCATGTCCTTCATCAGAGACATGAGTTTGTCCAGCTCTGTCTGATGAACTTCAAGATATTCACTATGGGGCAAAAATGGAAATCACCGATAAATATGAAGGAAACGGAGGCACCCGTGTAGCAGAGGTGTTTGTTTAACAACGAAACCTAATGAATGAAACTGATACGCACTATCAACAGCTCTTACTGATTAGGGCAGTTTTCACTACAAAAAAAAATCAATACAATGACTACAATGAGTTAATAAATAACCTTTCAGAAGTTTTCTGAATTGTCCGACCAACAGACAGACAATTCTTTCATCATGTCTTTCTTTCTTTCATCAAAAATGTGATAATGTCATTAAGTCTTTATTCACAGATGTCTAATAAAAATCTTAAAGGAACATTGACGACTTTCTTGCCATCAACTACTTGAATTGAGTGTGTGAGAGGAAGCGATAGTGCTCGTATTGCTCACTCCAAGCCTTGTTTGAGTGCGTTGTAAACCTCCTCCAGCCTTTTGGGCTGGGGCTCTCTGGAGCTGCTGCCTCCTTTGTGGCCGGACAGATGGGACTTCTTGGGCTTGGACTGAGGCTTCTTCTGTACCGCGGAGTTCCCAATGAAGGAGTTACACCTGCACACACACACACACACACACCAAGAAAACAAGAACATATTCGTGAGCATATGACTAAAATAATGACTTTGAGCTAGCAAGAACAGATCGTACCCCCAAAGAAATCTAAACCCCCTCAGAACTAGCAGGGGGACGGAGAAGCATCTTGACCTTAAAATTAATCTTTATAGAAAAGTCCTGTCTTGATTATTTGATTAAATAGCGTTTCAGAGATATATATAGTGTTAGATGAGATTTCTGTACCATTTGACAGCATACCGATCATGTTTCTGTGCATTCATTTATCTTGTCTGTTGGATGGAGAAGGCCTAACGCACACATGCAGGACTACATTCTACCCAACACATTACGCAAATACCGTCAGCTTGTCGAACATGCACACACAGGCGCAGGGAATGGCTAACTCATACCACAACCCTAAGCGGTACGCCTCCTCATCGCTCACAGGTGTGTGTTAAATACCACGTTCGCGCACGCATTTGTGCAAACACTTGTTTCCCCAACCCCACTGTCTGAGTCTGACCTCCGCAACACAACCCTTTAGCTTCCTCGGGTTCAGACACACACACAAACACACAAACTGAGTGCAGTCGGGCTCTCGGCAATCGGCAACATTCAAGGAGAACAATCGTTTTTTTTCCGATTACAATTCTTTTTTTGTTTGAATTCTTTTGCAGTTTCAAATTAGGCTGTTGTCATCTTAGTTCCATAATTTCAGAGCCTTAATTCAATATATATGTGTGAAGAAAAGGGCACATCATCCTTCAGTGCACAGCCTCCTCTCAAGTCTCTCCCGTGCCACATTAATCCATTTTAGGTCAAACTCATCTTACCCACTCATGCACATTTCAGCTTCTAAAACCCTCATAGATTGAGCTGACAAAATGACATTGCTCCAGTCTTAGTAAAAACGATCCGCGAGTCATTTCAGGGAAACGACAACAACCGATTCCGGCACTCGACGCGTCGGAACGTGCCGCGTCTCGCAGCGGCACAAGCTCAAGCGAAGCTGCCATAAAATGTAGGGCAACATGGAATAAAAGCGCTCAGAGGCCTTGGGGGTCACATGCGCAGGGTCTAGTTGATGGAAAGACACAAAAAATACACATGCCCAACAATTCAGCACACGCTAATCCTCATAATTTTGCATCGCTGAACACAAACTGCAAAGTCGGCATCATGTAGGCACAAATAAATACCCATGAAGCAGTCATGTGGGTACGCACATTGAGAGTCTGGGCCTGTTGACACTAACAGAGCCCCACACACACACACACACACATACACACACACACACACACACACACACTAAGAACCCATATCCCTGCAGCTTTCCACCTCACTCATTATCAGAATGTTGCTCGTCTGTCGCCGGCAGTCACCCACACGCTTGAGTCATTGCGGCTAATTACACCATTCACCGTCTGAGTGCTGAGAAAGGAACAGAATAGAGTCTTGAGATAGGTCTTTCTCAGCGGGACTTCGGCGGCTGAAAACAATCGGGCGCCGACAACCAAAAAGGGAAAGATTGCAACGGAAATACCCGGGACGTGAACGGGATCGGGCTTTGTCTGCGGCAAGGGCTGTCAGAGATGAGTCAAAGATGATGGAGCACAGATAAAGCTTCTTTTCGCTCAGGGCCTTTATGAATATCTAACTTCTTACCAACTTGTGAACTTCCGGATGAAAACGATCATGCCCTTAAAAGCTGCTAAACCCCAGCTAATCATTCTGCTCCAAATTCATCGCTCCAAAATTCTTAGATCTGTTTGATTCAGTATATAGTGAGGGCAAAATTACCCATGAGAGACAGAAAAAGCACGGCTTTACACATCTTTTCAAATGTCTGTTAATCTTAGTGAAGACTTTTTTTAAGAGTAGTTACTTAAACCAACGTCTAAAACATACATTTATCGTGTTATTCAATATCATCTTTATTACAGACACACATAAAATAAAGTTTATTTAAAAAAAAGCTATGTTTTACATCTGTATACCAGGCCTATCAAAGAATTGGAAAGAAGAAGCACAAATTTGAACAAAATAATTTAACTTAAATCAATATTTAACCTTATTTGGGGGGTTCAGATGCTCTATACAGAGACCGAGCATTCTAAACTCATCTTACGCAATAAGTGCTGAGTATTTTGGAATACTATCCACCTCCACTGCTGAAGCAAAGAGATACTTGCAAGTATATATTTGTTTTAGCGTTGGCCTCTATTTTGCTGTACTATTAGAAACAGCTGAAAAAAAAGACTTCCAATGTTCTGTTTGACACTAAAAACTATCTCTTAACTTGTGACGACAGATAAAATACATCTCCATCATCCATAGATCTACTAACATGTTTTAACCTGTTTAAATCAAATTCATTACTTATTATACAGAACTTAAATATGATAACACAATAATGATCAATAACACTCTCAGCTTTGTTAGAGTCAACTCCAACACAATACAGCATTTGATAGATTATGATGAGCTCTATCGATTAGTGGGATGAGCTTTAGGACATATTTGGTTAGTAATTCCTTGACCTGAATTGTCATTCCCCAAAAAAATTAGTAACTGGGCTGACCACAGATAAACCATATGCTTACCGTGAGCGCCGTTCCTGTAATGTGCTGAACCCGGCGAAGGACTGACTCCTTATGATGCCGTTGGGCCCACCTGGGGAGTGGGTTCCGGCGGCCATGATCTCCGGGACGCGGGACGACACACCTGGCAGAGAAACACACACACACACACACACATATTCACTTTGGACTAATCTGGTGGAGTAATTGAGCAAAAGATAAGGAGGAGGAATCAGATATGGAGTCGGTGATGAATCACATCCCAATGACTTCATGTCAATAACTTTGTACGCTGAGGGCTCGTTAGCAGCGAGGTTAACTGGAGTGTGTGTGTGTGTGTGTGTGTGTGAGCATTGTGCAAGCCGCACAAGCGTGGATGCTCGCCGTGTGCGATGTGGATGAGCAGCATTCAGAGCTTGTGCTAACATGTCGTCGGGCCTATTTGTCGCCGCTCTGAAGAAAACATACCCGAACCGTTACGGTTACTCCTCGGGCAGGTGTCACACTTCTCATCGAGTTCACGAATATTTTACACCTGAACTCAGAGCTGGCTTATGTAAGCATGCACGTTCATCAGACTGACATGTGTGTGAGAACCACTCACAGGCACACGCGACAGGTCACGACACAAATCCCCGCTGCGCTTGCTTTAAACTAAATTTCTCCTCTAAACAATTGCGACTAAGTATATAAAAAGTCCACAAAAGCCGAACTTTGTTGTCAACTCCTCTTGAAGTTTAAGACATCTTTTTATCGCCGCGACTATATTTACCGGCGGTAGCCTGTCAGGTTTCAGCCTTTTTTTAAGCCGGAGATGTGGAATGCGACACGAATCACGTGGACACTTGGGGAGCAAGCTGAAAATAGACGGAGAAAGGTCCAAATATAGTTTTCTGATAATGATGTAGCAGAGATCACGGACCCAAAGGGGGGAGGGATCCACTGAGATAACCGAATCACTGGGAAGATGAGCTTTTGTCCAGATAGGAGGTGGCCATCTTGGGTCGTTTGGATTGGGGCCTCCCGTTAATATCTAGAACTACTCAGCCTTTCTTGGCTTAATACCCACAAGAACTCTCCAGTCATAGGCACTAAAAAGACAGAAATTTTCATCTTTGAGTAAGTTGACTTTCCATTTTACTGACAACTCAGAGGCCAGCGTCTCAAGCCACTTAAAATACTGACCACGCAAAACAAATCTGACCCACAACTCACTGTCGACCTCGGTGATAAAGCCTACTTGAACATTTTTAGCAAGGTAGAAAAAGGAATGGGTTTGATCTTGTTATCGCTAGGCTACAGGGGAAAAGACAAGTGAAAAACAGATGTGCCTGAAGGCGAGAAACAGCAAGAAACCGATTTGTCACCTCAGATCAAACCCAACATAACATTCCAAAGTATCAGCCCCTCTGAGTCAGCACCTCGCCCTGATGCAAACTACAGAAATCCTTTATAAAGAAAACAGAAAACACATAAAAAAAACACTAACACTGTTCCTTTAAGGCCATTTGTGCCGCTCCTGTGCTGCTTTTCTCCCCTGTCTTTATGTCTGAGCACACAAACACGTCACTTAAAACATATCCTTCCACAGCACTGCATTGAGCCGGAAAACAGGAGCCAATTTTTGTGCACACAGCACACAAAGATTTCGGGACGGACCCTGAGAAAGACTACATCCAAGTTAGCTGTTGCTTTGGGGGAAACAAGAGACTTGGGGGCAAAACTGTTCTGGCTAGTCATAGTATTGAGATCGCTTAAACATAGAGGGATCTCAAAAGCGGTGACTCATCAAATGAACAGTCTCAGCCGTTAGATAACAGTTGGTGGTGCCAGGTGGTTGCTCCGTCAGCTGGAGCCAACAATTAATGCTGTTTCCTCTGTGGTTTTCAGCAGCTCTCCAACACAGGGCTGCTCTTCCAATTCATATCCTCAGTAAGTAGTTACACGTATAGTCAAGTCGGCCACGATTATAGCTCAGACCGGCTAGTTAATTAGACCCCTGTCTCGGTATAGGGTCATGGGAGGGGGACCTTTGACACTGACTGAAATGCAACCAACCTGCCAGGCAGCAAACAGCAGCTTCACAAACTGGAGAGTGTTAGAATTTGGCAATAATTACTCACTTTAGCATAGTATGCTATAACAGGATCTATGTAAATGACTGATTCATATTACTTTTAGAACTATACTTTTGTCTGTGGACACAGCCAGTCTCTGGCTGTGTTCACATACTCTCCATTTCTCTCTTTTTCTTGCTCTGTTGCATTAGATCCACACCTTTAGGTCAACACATACACATACCATTTCTTACCACATTCCAATGTCATCTAAATTAATTAGGACCTGGCCTATTCATGACCAGAGCTAACTAGCCAATAGGACTTGGTTATGTCCATCACTCCTTTGAACAGTCGGATCGAGCCAAGGAGATAATGTCCATCACACCTAGATCTCACAGCTCTTGGCCGACTGAGACCCTGAGAGAGGTTTTTGTCTGTGAAGAGCCCAGCTGATTTACTGGCCTGTGACCCAGTAAATGTAATTTGTATACTTTTGATCCACCCTGGTTTATTCTCAGGTTTCCAACTAAAGAATCGGGCTAACAAGCGGTCTTCATGAGATGTCCAAGATACCTTTAAAAACATCTTATGATTCGTCAGCCGTGTGTGGGAGAATTGAACAACACATTGAACTGTTTGATGCATTTTTGCTGGGCAGCGTGGAATGTAAGAGTTTTAGTGTCCAAATGGAGAAATAGCCCAGATAGGCATCGTTCATCCCATTTTATTTAACAAAACTATACACGTTTTGTCTCTTGTTAAACTGCCCTTTCAGTTCACCTTTTCATTGTCTGTCCACACAAGTAGAAAAACATTGCACATGGCATGAGCCTGCAGGGTGTGTAAAAAGAAGAGTTCACAGATAACAGATTGGCAGCAAAATCTCAGGCAGGATGACAGATGTGGTTCCAAAAGAGGTTAGGTGCCTTTTGTGATATGGATTACTTCACTTAAGTAGTAATCGCAGTGCTGACATTGAAAGGAGAACAAAGAAGAAGACTGGTGGCTGATTTTGACTGAAAGGCTTTTTTTTCCATCACAGGCTTTAGCAAGACTTTGAGCTCACACCGTTTCATCAGGTAATATCATCCTAATCTGACATAAGTGTGATGGACAAAAGTCATCATGGTACGATGCTGCCCAGAGGTGAGAATCACCCATTTCAAATTACATCCATTTTGGTCCATTTTGGGTGATCCAAAACAGCTTTCTTTCTGTCCATGTTGGTGTTGCTGACTTTCTGACTCATTCCCCTAAAAGAAGCGCCGTGGGTGGAAAATGATGCTACAATCTTGTTACCTAATGCTCTCTCGATACTAACAGAAAATGGTAGATACTGTTCATTCTGAGAAGGACTGTACAAGCCATTTTATTTAGATCCCTTCCATATGATATCGAGCCAAAAGGTGAAACTGAAATCATTCAAAAGATCTTGCGCCTTTGGGAAGAGATTAATTTAGGGTCCCCTTTACATACTGTTTTTCCAAAACTACATACTCACATGACGAGTTGCACGATGAGTCCTTTTTTCATTGCTCATAGATATGAAAGAACTCAAACAAATGAAACAGGACAAACAGCTTCATTTTTTAAAACACTGACTAAAGTGAGAACTGTGTTTGCCCTAAATCTATTTTTAGGGACTCGCCCAGGCACTGCTGAGTAAATGTGCTTTCTCATAAAAAGATAATCATCTTTCCCCTTCGAAACAAAGCTAATATCTGCATTTTAAATGTAACGTGTGATGGTGTAAGCACATTTGCTGCATCTTTTAAAGCTGTGGAAGCTCATCCACCTGCACAATACCTAAGTGAATATAAAGCGTTCCATTTTGATCAAATCAGGGCTGCGATGATAAATAATTGTAAAATAAATCAGTGGCAACCAAATTTCAGCCTCTTTCAACCAGGAAGTTGATAATTTGATAAATTGATGCTATTGTGGACATTTTTAACTAGATTTTCTGAACAAAAAGATGCATCCAGTCACTTATCTTCTAGTATTTACATTCTCTCATGTTTTAATGATTAATAGATAAAGAAAAAGTTCCTTATTCAGCAGAGGCATTCCTCAAGAGAGACACACACGATGAGCTAACACACTCACACTTGCACCCAAGTTTATGGAGTTTTCCGGAACCTTTCCCACCCCCATTAAAGCCCTTTGAAAAAAAAAAAAAACTCTACATTACTATAAATGTTTCCACGTAGGTAAAGATACACACATATGCATACACACACACAAACTAGTGCTGAGTTCAACTGCTGAATCACAAAAACCTTTCCTCTCTGCTGTTGTGTCACTGCTTATCTCGTCTAAAGAGCCTTTTAGAGCGGGAACAATGCCCACTTGCAGTGTTTTCTGGGCCGGTGCCAGCTGTTACCAATGCTGAATTCAGCTGCCAGTCAGTGCATTCACTGCTCTTTTATCTCAGCCTTAAATGCCCCTGAGAGTGCGGTGTGTGTGCTCTTTTTTGGGGGGGCTTTGGAAGGGGGGTTCTTTCTCCTTATTTATTCCCATTAGATTGGTCTGTATGCAAGAGCCGGAGCTCGACAGGAAACGGGCAAATGACAAACATGTAATAAACAAATGGGACTGGACAGGGGACGGCAGGACAGTTTGCCGTTAGCTCTCCAAGGTGCACGTGTTTCCATGAATCGAACTCCATGCTGACCATGTGTGTGTTTGTGTCTGCTCTGAGCACTGGGAGGGTGAAACAATGACTGGATGAGTGTTTATGGGGTGATAATCCATCTGTGGGAGAAAGTAGGAACGGAAGAGAGCCACTAACCTGAGTAAATGTGGTCAACACTACAGTAAGTTGTAAGACGCAGGATCCCCCTGAGAGATTTTTAAGGGCTTTTTAAGGCAGGGAAGCTGAGATGACCAACGTCATTACTGCACTAAGAGCTTTTACACCATCAGTATTTTTTTCTGAAATAGGAATAATTTTCGTTACCTTAGAATTCCCTCCCACAGCGATTAAAAGCACATGATTTTAGTGTACTGTTGAGTGTATGACGAGGAGGGGAAAAAGTGCAGTTACTAATGGCTGTGGATGCTGAGCCATTTGAGGGCAAACTTT